TTTTTGGCGCCGTTGCCGGGGACTTGAGTTTCAAATCATATTCTTTTCAAGTGAATTATTTCATTGTGTGATTGTTGCATACCTCTGTCCTTGGAATTAACTGTTATATCTAACCATTAAGGGAGTTGTGTATGAGCACAGGGTCTGGTTGGTTGACMTTTGATCCAGAGATTGAAAGAACCCTTAAGAGRAGAARGCGTGRGCAGAGGTTGAGAAAAGAGAAAGAAAGTAAAAAAAAGAAAGAAGTTGAAGAAGAAGAGACCATCGAGATGAATAGAAATGCACAAGATCCTCCACCGCCACAAAATCCACCTGTGAATGGAGATATGGCAGATGAAGGAGCAMCAAACCGAGCAGRAGAAATTYYTAATCYGATCCTTTTAGCAGATAATCGAGATGTAGCCATGCGGAATTATGTCACTCATGCGTTCCACAACCTAAATTCAGGGATAAATAATCCTTTACCCCAAGCTGCACAGTTCGAGCTCAAGCCAGTCATGTTCCAGATGTTACAGACGATGGGCCAGTTCGGAGGATTGACTAATGAAGATCCTTACTCCCATCTCAAATCCTTTATTGAAATAGCTAATACATTTCAACTTCCTGGTGTTTCTGAGGATGCACTAAGATTAAAAATGTTTCCTTCTTCTCTCAAGGATGGTGCAAGGGCTTGGCTAAACGCGTTAGAACCAAATTCTATCAACACATGGGCAGAACTGACAGAGAAATTTTTGGCAAAGTACCACACTTTGACCAGGAACGCAGACCTCCGAGAGGACATTGTGTCTTTTAGACAGAAAGAGAACGAAGCAGTTTAAGAAGCTTGGGAGCGTTTTAAGGAGTTACTTAGAAGATGCCCGAGCCATGGATTGCCCAGATTGAACAATTCTATAGAGGATTGGATCGTTCATCAAGGATGATGTTGAACACCGCAGCCAATGGCTCATTGTTAGAGAAGTCGGTAAATGAGATCGTTGATATCTTGAATAAGATGACAGACATTAATGACCAAGGCGAAATAGGAAGGTCATTACCAAAGAAGCAAGTATCAGCTGGAATCTTTGAGTTAGACACAGTAGCTTCAATGCAAGCCCAAATGGCGGCTATGAACCAAATGTTAAAGTAGTTGACAATGGAGAAGGAATCCAAAACCGTCACTTCGGCGATACCTGAACCCTCTCCTATTTTGCAAATTTCAGATATATCTTGTGTCTATTGTGGTGATAACCACTTGTATGAAAACTGTCCAGCTAATCCAGCATCTATTTTTTATRTAGGTCAAGGTGCCCAGCGAAATTTCAACCCGTATTCAAACAATTACAACCCTGGATGGAGGCACCATCCAAACTTTTCCTAGAGTAACCAAGGAGTAGCTAGTAGCAGTGCACAAGCACCCGCTCAACAATACAAGCAAAACTATACTCCTCCTGGTTTTCCAACTCAACCGGCGTCGCAGCCTCAACAATACAATCAGCAAAGAGGTCAAAATACTACTCAACAAAGTGGTAACAACGCAAGTTTGGAGGCCATGATGAAAGAGTTCATGACAAGAACTGATGCTGCGATAAGA